GGAAGCAACATCTTGCTGAAGACTATTTAGAAATGACTAAAACAGTACATTAACAGAGAACTGCCATAAATTCAAGCTGGATTTAGAAGAGGCGTGGTACCAGAGGTATTATTGTTCATGTCAGGTGGATCTTGACTGAAAACAGAGAATACCAGAAGGAGGTCTTATCTGTGTTTTATTGGCTATCCAAAGGCATTTGACCATGTGGATCATATCAAATTATGGCCAACATTGAGAAGAATGGTGGGAATCCTAGGACACTTAATTATGCTCATGCCAAACCTGTACCTAGACTGTCGTGCAAACAGAGCAAGGGAATATTGCATTGTTTAAAATCAGGAAAGGTGTTCATCAGCCTGTATCCTTTCTCAACACCATATATTCAGTCTGTATGCTGAGAAAATAATTTTGAGAAGCTGTACTCTATGAGGAAGAATGTGGCATCAGGATTGGAGGAAGACTCATCAACAACCTGCATAATGCATAATGTTGACCTTGCTTGATGAAAGTGAGTGAGAAGGAATTGAAGCGTTTGGTATAGAAGATTAAGGACTACAGTTTTCAATATGGATTACACATCAACATCAAGGAAATTAAAATCCCCACCACCAGGTCAATAGACAACATCATGATAGATGGAGAAGAGATTGAAGTTGTCAATGTACAGTCAACACCCTTGGCAGTTAAGAAATCAAAAGATGAATTGCATTGGGAAAATCTGCTCTCAGGGATCTCTATAGAACATTGAAAAGCAATGATGTCAGCTTAAAGACTGTTGTTGTTGTGTACCATTGAAGCAAAACAGACTCATAGCTGACCCTCTGAGAGGTTTTCAGAGGCAGATAATCACACAGGAAAAGATTGCCCATCTTTCTCCTGTGGAGCACCTGGAGGACTCAAACCTTGTGCATTTGAGATTGCAGCACAGCTTCTTGCCACTAGTTCTGATGGCCTAGTGGTAAGAATCTGTGCTGCAATTCCACAGGCATGTGGTTCAAATCCACTAGCTGCTCCATGGGAGAAGGATGAGCAATCTCTTTCCGTGTGATTAACTGCCTCTGAAAACCTGCTAGAGGGTCATTTATGGATTAGTTCTGACTATAGTATACTACAGCAATTCACATACCATATAATTCATCCACTTAAAGTATATGATTCCATGATTTTCAGGTTATTCAGAATTGTGCACAATTACTCTCCCCAAATCCCATAACCCTTTGTCAGTCATTCTTCATAACCTACCCACTGACCTCTAGCCCAAAGCAACTACTAATCTCTATAGATTAATCTAGTCTTAACATTTCATATTTATGAAATAATTGAATCTGTGATCTTTTACAAGACACTTGTTTCACTAAAGAAATCCTGGTAGTGTAATGCATAACATATCAGGCTGTTACGGGAGCTCTGGTGGCCTAGTGGCAAGAAGCTGCACTGCAATTCCAGAGGTGTATGGTTCAAATCCACCAGATGCTCTGTTGAAGAAGGAGGGACAATCTCCTACTATACCAGTCAGATCTGGTTTGACTACTACACACACACACACACACACACACAAATTAAAAAAACATATCAGGCTGTTAACCAGAAGGTGCGTCATTTGAATCCACCAGCCATTCTGTGGAAGAAAAATGGATCATCTTCTCTCTTGGAGATACACAGCCTTGGAAACCCAGTGAAGGGTTGCTGTGCGACAGAATGGACAGGATGGAATTGGTTTGAGTTTTCTTCTTGATTTTTTTTCACTGAGTAACATTTTCACATTTCACTCATATCAAAGAATGAATCAGTATTTCATTCCTTTTTTATTGACAGGTAATATATCATTGTATAGATATACATAACTTTATTAATACATGTATCAGTTGAACATTTGAGTTATTTCTATTATTTTACTGATATGAATAATATTGCTGTGGAGATTTATGTATGGATTTTGTATGCATAAAATATTGTTTCTACCTTTTTACTAAAATGAATAATATTGTTGTTGTTGTTAAGTGCCGTCGAGTCGCAGGCGACTCATAGAGACCCTATGAAGGAGAGTCCTTGACGCTTGGGTGCCTTTCAGCCTCTCTCCAGGTTCATAGGGTTTCCGGAGATAAGCTATTATGGAAGTGGATGCCACTCCTCCTTCCACGCTTATTTTAGTCAGGGAGCTCCACCCCACTCTCTGTCCGCATTGGGTAGCCCAACCATTAACGCATTTGACACATCTGTGTAACAGTGTTCAGCCTCACAGCAACCACAAGTGACCGCGGTACAGCAACTTGTACACCAGGGCTATACGACCTAGAGGAATGTCTGAACAAAAACAATGAAAGACTGGCCCGAGGGCCGCGGATTAAAAGTCACCCACCTTGGTCTTGGTCACATAGTTTTCTCATCACTGGACCAGCTGATCTCTCTCTTTCTCTCTCTGTTAATGTTATTAATGAATAATATTACTGTGCATAAATTTTGGGGGGTCTTTTCCTCTTGTAAATTCCTGTTAGGAGCAGAACTGCAGAGTCACATGGTAACTCACTGGTAAACATTTTTAAGAACACCCCAAATGACTTTATCACTTTGCATTCCCAACAGCAACATATGAGAATTCCCTTTTCTGTACATATTTGGCTATACTGTCAACATCTTTTTTATTATAATCATCTCTTTGGTATGAAATGGTATGTAATTGTGGTTTTCATTTGCATTTCCCTAAAAACTAATAATGTTGAATGTCTTTGCATGTACTTATCAGTCATTTGTATATATTCTTTGAGGATATGTCTATGCAGATCCTATGTTCATTTTCAACTGGGTAGTTATCTTTTAATTATTGAGTCTTGAACATATCAGATACCATGAAAATGGATTAGCATTGGGCAAAGCTCAGGCCTATTGTTCATAGGGTCTTTATGAATCATAGTTGACTTGAAGGCACCTAACAACCACCGTTATTTATATATTTGGTCTGCAAGTGGCTTATGAGATACAGCAAAACTTGTAAAAGTTGGAACTTGTATGAGAATGGAACCTATTAAAAAACAAAAACGGAAGCATATTCCTGAGGGAAGCTGAATATAAAATTTAATAATAGTAGACCAAGTGCTGGAAATGAGGGAAGCTTGATACAAACTGGAGGCCACCTTGTGGCAATGGGGCGTTCACTAGGAGTTAACATTGTTCTTAGTTTGTGTCAAGTGAACCCCTCCCTCTTGAGATTAGCATAAAGAGGAACTTGGCCTTATCTGTAAAAGACTTCACCATTATCCTTTGTTTTGTACTTCCTTGTGAATTTACTTTTATTATCTTATGATTCTAAATAAATACTCAGAGAAGCATGGCTTGAGGTCTTCAGTCCAGAACTGTTGACCCTCTGTTTTTCGTTCTCTGCTTTATCTCATTCCTGGCTGTTTGTCTCTTTATTAATAATTATAAAATTATTCTATTCTTTGGGACCCTCGGTCTGCAACATATTCCTCTAGGAAAAGAGATTGGAAAGTTGCAGGCTGTCAAAGCAGAAAACAAGACCTGTGGTTGTTGTGGTTGTATTGTGCTATAGAGTCGACCAGGAGTCCTAGCGATCCAGACAGTATCAGTCAGTTCTTGTTTGTCACACAGATTTCATGTATAGGTTCTGTAAATATTTTCTTCCATATCATGTACTATGTTTTCATTTTCTTCAGGCTATCATCTCAGCATAAAAGTTTCTAAATTTTTCTGAAGTCTTTGTATTTTTTGTTTTGTTATTTGTGCTTTTTGAGTCTTTCTTTATCCTCTAAAACTTGCAACACTTCACTCCCAAGGACTGTGCTATTCTTTTCTTACTTACTCCCATTTATGCAGCCTGGGGTTTAATTTTCCTATGATTTCTCCCCCTTAAAAAATAGGAAAAAATAATAAAGAATTCATAGTATTCCTAGGAATGCTCCTCATTGGAGAAAAAAAAAATAGTTATTCAATGTCTGTCTTGGGTGGTTGTGGTTGTTGTTATGTGCCATTGAGTCAAGTCTGACTCATAGTAACCCTATGAATAACAGATCTGAACCCTGTTCTATCCTGTGCCGTCCTCACCATCTCTGACATTCTTTTAAGCCATTGCTGCAGTCACTGTGTCTGTCCTTCTTGCTAAGGGTCTTCCTATTCTTTGTTAACTCTTCTCCTTTCCAAGCATGATGTCCCTTTGCAAGGAATAGCAACATGTCCAAAGTATGGGATGAAGTTTTACCATCCTTGCCTCTAAGGAGCACTCTGGATGCACTCTTCTCTTTATACACTTGCTAAAGGATTTTTTTCATGAATATATAAACTTGTATAAGACATAAATGTTTGTCCTTTTGGCAGTCCATGGGATATTCAGTACAGCTCCAGCACTACAACTCCAAGACATCAATCCTTCTGTTACAGTATATAACAATCTTGTATAAACTATGACAGAGATTTGTTTGTTATGATATTAAGAGAACTAGTTCATTTATTCCTGTTACCCGGTAGTGTTAATGCTCAGATAGAGGCCATCTCTTACAAAATGCCAGCTTACTCCTCTAACTAAACCACACACACATTCCTAACAGAATCCTTAATATGATAAAGTGTTATATTTTTTATTGTTTGTTTCTACACATTAAGCTCTGATATTCCGTATGTCATAAAGTAAGCAAAGTGTTTTGATAGGCAGTATTGTGTTTTATAATATTTTGCATACTTGCTAAGTTATGTTTTTTATGAATGGCTTTAAAAAATCTGAACAATTTGATTCATAATATTCCAGTTCAAAAGTATATAAATGGACAGTTTATCTATTAGCTCTATGATTCTCATACATATCAGGCCAGATTGGATACTTCTTGTTTAAATTGAAAAATTAAACTAAAAGAAAACCTATGGATCTTTACTACATTGAATATACTATAAATGTATATTCCTATCAATGTATATTTAATATAATTAATTTATTCTTTATTGTTACTTAAACAATATTAGAAGTAACTAACACTATTTTGGGACTTTTCTAGGGTGATAGTGGTGGACCATTAATGTGCTACTTACCAGAACATCATAAATTTTTTATCATGGGAATTACCAGTTATGGACATGGCTGTGGTCGAAAAGGTTTTCCTGGTGTCTATAGTGGGCCAGCCTTCAACCAAAAGTGGCTGATGGAATACCTCTCACAGAGAAGCCGGAAGAGCATATCTAATACAAGCTTTCTGGTTGGACAGATCCTTATAGCCTTAGGGTCTGTAGTCTTCCTAACAACTAAGTGACAAAATTCTAAAGAACTGAGTAGCTTCTTTTTTGCATCATGTTTCTTTCTACATGTTTTACATAATGAAAACTATTTCTTCTTTTAACAAGTAATTGCCTGTGTCAGTGCTCTCCTGTGGGCGGGAATTCTTTTAGAATAACAAGACTCTGATTCATTAGAAACATGATTCGTGTTTAAGTGCCTGGGAATCATATGCTTCCTTAATGCACCTTGATTGTTTTACTTTATAATCATAAGTTGTATTTTAAATGCTTTCAAATATTTGTACATAATATTCAGTTAAATATGTATTTTATGTACAAGAACACCAAACAATAAAGAGTTTATTAAAATGAAAGCTGGATTGTTGGGTTTTTCCTGTTCCAAACTATTCCAAGTTAGGCTTTATTTTATCCTAGAACATGTGTTTGTAGAGTTTGCTATTCTCTGATCCAAACATCATGTTTCTAATGTCAAAAGATATTTGGATAAGTAGTTATTTGTCCATTATTTAAACTGAAATTAAAGCAACTAGCATATTACTTTGATGCATAATTTCCTTTATCAGAAAAGAACTGTGATGCAAATATTGAATAGAATTGATTTTTTTCCATTTGCTATTGATTGCCAGGTACATCTGCTCTGACCCATGTGACCTAATGTGTATCCATGAAATGTTCAGTCCTGTGCCGTCTTCACAGTCACTGATGTTTAAGTCGGCCATTCTCACTGTTGTGCCAACCTATTCCACTGAGGATTTCCCTTGTTTTCACTGACCCTCACTTACCAAACATGATGTCCTTTGCAAGCAGTTGGTCTTTCCTGATGTTGTGTCCAAAGTGAGTGAGCCAAGGGCTTGCCGTCCCTGCTTCTGAGGAACATTTTGGTTGTATTTCTTCTAAGACATTCATGGTTTTGCCTCTGGTCATCCGTGTTGCAGTCAGTATTCCGCCACAAATGGAATGGCATCTTGATCCTAATCAAGATATAGGACATTTCCATCATCTCAAAAAGTTCCCTTTTACCCCTTCCCGGTAAATCCCACCCCTGGCCCCATGCAACCACTGATGCACTTTTAATCATAGTACTGTTGTCGTATCAGTCAGAACTGACCCATAGCTGACCCTTCAGTGGGGTTTCAGAGACTCTGAATCACACAGGAAGTGTTTGCCCATCTTTCTTTGTGGAGCAGCTGGTGTATTTGATCCTCCTGCTTTTGGGTTTGCAGTGCCAATCCTTATCACAAGAGCTCCCCGTTTATATATTTTTTAACTCTATTGGTGTAAGGTCACCGCTGAAAGACAGAACCCAGTGCAGTCAAAGAAAGATAGTTTATTAAGGAGAAACTGCCAGGCTGGTTCTCAAGCAGAATACTAACCCCCACTAAGAGTTAGAGGAGGATTTTATACTTTCTTACATGGAAACTGGGCAAGGGGATGCATATAGATGCTTCCTTCAAGATAGGGAAGTGATCTAGGTTCTCAGATAACTATTCCTGCCGAAATGGGTATAGGGTAGTTTCACAGAAAAATCACAACTGCTGTTTCCTGTTGTTGGATTTTCTCAGTAGCCATTCTGGGAGAGGAAGGAGAGGGCTCTGCAGTCCTAATAATTAGAAATAGCTTGTTTTCCAGAGTTGCTGCACCATTTTACATTTCCACCAGCAGTATTATTCTACACCTATGCTAATGTTTGATATTCTTCATTTTTAAATTTTAGTCATTTAGTAACATTTATTTGTGGTTTCAGCATGCATTTCTTTGATGACTGATGGCACTGAACATCTTGCCATGTGATAGTGGTGCTGTTGTTCATGCATTAGGCTGCTAAGGAAAAAGTTAATGGTTCAAACCCACTAGTCATTGGGAGAAACATGAGGCATCTGTTGCTGTAAAAATTTATAGTCTCAGAAACCCTGCAGAGCAGTTCTCTACTACAGGGTTGCTGTGCATCAGAATCTACCCAAGGACAGTGCTTTATTAGACAATCATAGGTATTTTGTTAAAAGTCTGTTCAAATCACCTGTCCACTTATATTTGGTTATTCATCTTAATAAGTTTTGTTGTTGTTGTTGTTGTTGTTGTTGTATATTATAGAGTCACAACCAATCCCTAGCTGACCCTCTGGCGGGTTTTCAGAGGCAGTTAATTACACAGGAGGAGATTGCCCACCCTTTTCCCACAGAGCAGCTGGAGGCCTCGAATCATGTGCCTTTGAGATTGCAGTGTAGCTTCTAGCCAGTAGGCCACCAGAGCTCCCTTAATAAGTTTAAAGAGTTTTAAACTCAAGACCTTTGATAGGTGACTTGAGAGTATGTTACTTGAGTTTGTCTTTTCATTAATAGCGTCTTTTAAAAAAAAACCAACCAGGAAGTTTTGAATTTTGATGCATTCATCCACAGTTATGTGCCACTTAATGTCCACTATGTCTTCTGTAGAATAGGGTATTATGTGATTTGGATGCTGTGTGAACACCATGTTATGTACAGACACTTCACATATGATCTGTGTGAATATCCCTGTAAAACCTGTTATGTTGAAATATATTACAAGCCCACTAGACAAGGTGTAAGAGCTGTATCTATTGAAAAACAGAGGCTGGCCTTGCTGGGGATGTGACTGGACCACAGTGGGGCTGAGCAGGCAGCCTGATCCTGACTTTGTGCATGTCCAGGCGCACAGATGCTAAGAGTTGGCTGCAGAGAACACAGGCCGGGGTGCCAGGAACAAGCTTGGCAGTAGTGGTTTGGGCTGCTACCACCCTGTTGGCACAGCTACTTCCTGATAATGTACAGTCACTGTCACCATCACCCAAGTCAGGTGCCTTCCAGTGCCCAGGCCAGTGCCAACAGCACCCACAGCAGGAACAGAAGAACTGTGACAGGTCCTACTCTATCATCAATGAAAGGCTGCAGGGTTGCCTGACCAGTGAATTAAGATGGAAGGAGCAGTAGAAGGTAAAGAATCACTTCAGGAACTGGGATGCATCTAGAAGCCCTGCTGCCAGGGTTAGGATCTTAAAAACAATTCTTCCACTCATCTCTCTTATTGCCATTGACTTGGAACCAAATCATAACTAACCTTCCATTAATTTTCTGATCCCCACACAGGAGGAGCTTGCTCATCTTTCTCCTGAGTTTTTGCTGATGGATTAAAGCCCTTATAGAAAAAATACCACCGTTGGGTTAGCAACAGACAATGCCACTAAATTCAAACTCATTACCGGTGAGTTAGAACTGCCTCACAGCCAGCCCTCCAGGGGGGTTTGGATGTTGTCAATCATAAGGGAGGAGATTGCTCTTCTTTTTCTGTAGGAGCTGCTGGTGGATTTGAACCCTTAGACAGGCACCTCCTTTTAATTAAGAGCACAACTCCCTACAGACAACGCCACCAGAGGCCACCAAATCTCCTTTTAAAACCACTGGGGGAGTAAAACAAGAGTGGCTTGTTCTTTCAAAAACAAACAAAACACCTATGAGGGACTGCAGATGAATATATTATAGTATGACATTGCCCAAACCGAAGGTGAGCAGTATGTACTGGTATGTATACATTTATATATAAAGTATATCTTTATGAAATTTATATATAAAATTATTGATTAACTTCTCATCAGAAGCAATGAATGCTGGAAGATATATGTGTGGCATATTCAAAGTGGTGAAAGAAAAAGAGTTATTCAAGAATTCCATATCTTGGAAAGCTATGAAAAATTTGAAAGTTAATGAAAATATTTTAAATAAACAGAAAAGAATTAATTGCCAGCAGACCTACACTATGAAATGCTAAGGGAAATTCTTTAGATTGAAGGAAATTACTCAAGATAGAAAATTGGTTCTCCACATAGGAATGACAAAAGAAATATTAGTTTTGTGTAAAAATATAAAATACTATGATTTTTTTTCTTTTCAATTCTGTTAAACACATATGTAGCTGTTTCAATACCACTTGTAACACTATATTACTGAGTTTATAGCATGTGTAAAATATATATTGATAGTGTCTCAGAGGATGAAGTTAAACACTATTGCAAGAGTCCTACATTTTACCCCAAATGACAACCTCTTCAACAAATGGCAAAACTGGACATCTACCTGCAGAAAACGGAAACAGAATCCCCCCTCTCACACCGTGTACAAAAACCAACTCAGTGTAGATCAGAATCCTAAAGGTAAAACTCCAGACAACTAAAGATCACAAGAGACAAAATGAGACCAAGCTGAGAATCCCTAGCCTATGGTATTTATAGGCTTTTAAATATAGCCAAAAATGCAGAACCAAGACAGGTAAAATCAACAAATGGGATCTTCTAAAAATCATATCCCTGTGTGCATAAAAAAACCCCCTTTTTCTAATAAGGTGAAAAGTCCACAGACTAGGAAAAAATATCTGGCAATTACATTTCAGACAAGGGTCTCAAAACCACTGTTTACAGAGCATTCACTCCCACAAATAAACAGACTGGTAACATACAAAATGGGCAAGAGACATGAAAAGAGTCTTCACAAATGAGTACATTTGGATGGGCAACAAATACATGAAGAAATGTTCAAAATTACTGGCACTCAGAGAGATGCATATCAATGAGATATCCTCTCATCCCAGTAGCAGTAGCAAAGTTTAACAATAACTAATAAAAAATATTGGAGAGGATGTGGAAATAAAAAATGTTGGAGAGGATGTGGAAAGACTGAACACTCAGGCCCTGCTGGTGGGACTATAAAATGGTACAATCACCATGGAAGGCAGTTTGGTGTTTCCTCAAAAAGCTTAACATAGAAATCCCAGCAATTTTATTACAGAAATTCCACTTCCTGCCCAGCAACAAGCTCTTTTGGTGAAGCAAGAAAAACTTTATTGTGCACATATTGTCCACAAGTTGTGCTGACAGAGACCACAGCCTCTTAAGGGTCAGGCTCCCCAAATGCAGAATGTTCTCTCTTTATATAGGCTTACAAGTTAATGGTTGGGGTCTCTTTTTTTTTATTGGCTAGATTTACATACACTATGATTGGTTAGT